GAGATCCGCCTGGAGGAGATCAGAGGACTGACAGACCCAGTCATTCCCTAAGATGCTTAGGTGGATTCCTTTTGGGGGGATGGATCTTGTGAGAGTGGGCCTGATAGAGCCAACTCCCGAGGACCTGCTGTTTCGTGCATCATTGCTGTGTGACCAACTACCTCAACACATAGAGGCTGAAAACAAGACCCTTTTCAGGTTCTGGGGGTTGGCCAGGCAGTTGTGCTTCATCTATTGTTGGCTCAGGTGTTGGGATGGCTGGTAGGCCCACCGTGGCCTCCCTCCCATGACCGACACTTACCTGGAACCTCCATTTAGTGTGGGGCTGCTTGGGCTTCCTCATAGCATGGCCTCCAAGAGGGTGCAGCTCGAGAGGAAGGAGACATGTTTCCTTGTGGCCTCGTAGGGCTAGAGCTGAGAAGTCCCAGGTGATCACTTCTGCCACAAATGATGCATGTTTACACCCTATTGATCACAGTAGTCACAGGGCCAGCCCAAATTTGGGAGGAGGGGATAATCGACTCCACCTTTCAACAGGGGAGAGGCCTGCATGCAACGCAGGGAGGGAGTAAATCAATGGTGGCTATCTTTGGAGCCTTTACCACCCCTATCATTCCCGACTGTGACTTTGAGTATAAACACTGATTGGTGCTCATCCCTGGGGCTGGATCCTGCAGAGGACGCAGAGATCTAGGAGGTGGATGTCCTTTTCTCCACCCCAACCTCAAAACAGTTTGGACTAGATGCTCTCCCCTCTCCTTCTGGCCCTGACTGCCTCCAGAATTGACATTCAAAACATTCCTCTCCCCTCACCCCACCCCCCCAAACACACTCCCACCCACAACTGCAGGCCAGAGTACTGAGGCCTGGCCCAGACACTGTCAGGGACCAGCAGATGCCAGCTCTTGGTCTGGGGGTAGCCTGCTGGACTGGATAAGCTGGGAAGGCTGAGTGGGGGCAGAGGGGCCAGTGGGGCTAGAATGCAGGGGAGGAGGATCTCACAGGCTACCCTGGGCTTAGTGCCATCAAACAGGCTGGAGAAAGTGAGCTCAGGCTCCAGCACCTTCGCCCTCTGGGTTTGGGCCTTTTAGGAACTCTAGCATTTTTTTTTTTTTTTAACCCAGCGATCACATCAACGTCATGGAGCCCAAATCAGAACCCAACAGCAAAGAGCTTGGAGTGAAAGCCAGGGCCACACCAGGGATGGTGGGGGAGTGAGGGGAAATTCCTGCAGCCCAAGTCCAGCCATTGGGTTAGTTCCTGGAAGGACTGGTTTGAAGCCGGCTCTGGACTTTCCGGCCCTAGAGGCCATAACCTTGCCCTAGGGGGCTTGCAGCATCGTGACCCTCAGCCCACTTGTAAGGCAGGGCCCGGCTAGCCCAGCTGAGCCGCAGGGAAACGACCATCCTTCTGTACCCAAGCTCCCACGGCGCTCTTCACAGCCCCTCTGCTCACGGAGAGCTGGCCCCTCCTCCAGGGCTCGGCAAGTGTCCTCCGTTCTCCCTGAAGCCTTTCCATCCTGGAAGCGACGCCTCCCTGCTCTGAGCAACTCACTCCCCGGGCTAGTCAGTGGAGTCCCACTTTGGGATGACTCTTCCCCTTACCAGCTGCCTGGGTGTGAACCCCGGGTGACTTGAGGCGAGTTAGGTCACCTGTGGTGGCTCAGTTTCCTCATCTGTAAAATGGGGATAACACTACCACCCACCTAGTGGTGGTTGTGAGGATCACAGGACCCAGTGCGCACCAATCACTTGGCACATTGCCTGGCACGCGGTAAGCCCTACGAGCACGGAAGCCAATAAGAACTACCTCGCCATTGCCTCGTGCGGGCCACGCACTGCATCAGGCACAGTGACAGGGGAGGGATGATGCCAACTCCCGCTTCCCCAGGGCTGGGAAATCGGAGGGCCGCGCCACCGCTGGCGGGCTGGCCTGAGCCAACGAAAACCGGCCTCATCCTGCAGCGAGCGCCTCCTGCTGGCCACAGGTCTCTGGGCCGCCAGCGGGGGCTGGCGCCGCACCTGTCGCCCCGGAGGGCCCCGGGCGGGCGTGAAAGTGAGGGGCTGCGGGAGTGGCTTTGCCCACCTTTGCGCGTAGCTTAGTCATTTTCTGGAGACGGGTTGGCTGGAGTAGACCCTCCCGGCAAAGCTGTGAGAAGCCTGGCTCCCTTACCCAGATGACCACTGACATCTGGCAATTCCAACTCCTCATCCCACTCAGCAAACAGATAACCCAGGTCTTACCTGAGTCCACGCTGCCTTCATCTCTCTCTTCGTCTCTCAGTCTGCTGCCTAGTCCTGCCGCCGCCACCCTCTGAGACTGGGCTCTGAGCAGGCCACTCCCTGGCTTAAGATCCTTCTGCTCTCTCTCCCCCCGCTAAGCCTCTTCACCTTTTGTTCCCTCCCCATGTCCTCCCCAGTCTCCCTCACCTGGCCTTCTCCTCCTCCTCCAGGCCTCAGTTGACTCCTCAAATGATCTGTGGGGGGATTACATACTGGTGACCCTCACACCTGCCTACACACTAGAATCAACCGGGGCACTTTGGAAAAACCCTAGTGTCCAGCGCACCCCTTACCACCTGAATCCAACTCGCTGGGCTGGGGCCTATATCCGTGGGGTTTTCAACTACCCCCAGATTATTCAAATATGCAGCCAGGATCGAGAACCTCCCATTCTCACGTGCTGGAGGCACTCTGTGCCCTGAGGGTGAGGAGCAGAGCTCTTTCGCTCAGGGTCAAAGCTCCGCACCTAGCCCTACAGCGTGTATCTATTAGGTGCTGATGAAACAATTGTTTCTGGCCAGGCTCTGCACTGCCTCACCAGCCCCACCTCCCAGCTGAAAGGGTGTGCTTTCTTCCCGCCTCTCCCACATGTGGTTCCTGGGTCCTACAGTCCCCCAGGGGTCCTCTGCAATACCCCTTCCTCGGGGAAGCTGTCCCTGATCCCCAACTGACCTCAATTCCCTTGCCCCCGCTCTTGCAGCGCCCCCCCCCCGGACTTTCCCAAGTGCAGCTCATCACCTGGGGGTCAGCTGTGGCTCCCCTTTCCCCAGGAGGACATAAGCCTCTGCTGTCTTTTCTGTACATAAATTGGTTGGTTGAGTGATTTCAGACCCAGATATTTTTTACCTCTTCAGGAGACTTTGGCCTGGGCCCAGACCACTCTAAAAGGCTCTAAATGGGGGTACCTTGGAGGCTCAGCTGGTTGGGCATCTGCCTCCGGCTCAGGTCCTAATCTCCAGGTCCTGGGATTGAGCCCCATGTCGGGCTCCCTGCTTAGCGGAGAGTCTGCTTCTCCCTCTGCCTCTGCCCCTCCCCCTTGCTCGTGCTCTCTCTTTCAAATGAATAAATAAAATCTTAAAAAGAAAAATTTTTTAAAAGGCTCTAAATGTGAGGACCTAGTGAGTTTGGGATCTGACAACGAGCCCTTTGCAGGAACTGTGTGACCTCTAGGGGGCGCAGGGATGATGTCTGAAATACTCAGGAACGGTTCTCCAGGACAGCCTAGCAAGGAATGTACCTGTGTGGAGGGCACGACCTGTATACCCAGCAGTGCTTGCTTTCACCTTTCTCCAGAATAGCAAATAGAGTTGAATTGCATCCCCCTAAAAAGATGTGGATGTCCTAAGCCCTGGTACCTGTGAATGTAGCCTTATTAGGAAATAGGGTGTTTACAGATACAAGCAAGTCAAGATGAATGAGATCATCCTGGGTCAGGGTGGAGCCTAATCCAATGTCTGGTGTCCTTATAGCAACTGTGAAATTTGGACAGAGATACACAGAGGGAAGGTGGCTGTGTGAAGGCAGATGCTCAAGGGGGCTAACAGCTTCTGGAAAGGCCAGTGGTTGCTTCTGGATGGCTAGGTAGAGTGGGGAAGGCAGAACCAGTCTCAAAAAAAAGTAGTGGCAAACTAAGGAGTCTAATTCCGAAACTGGGGCGCAAGGCAGGAGCTCAGGAATTGGAGACACCTGCTTGGCAGCAGAAAGGTCCTGGAAAGGGTTGAGAATAGGGTCGCCAGATAAAAGGCAAGATGCCCAGTTAAATGTGAATTTCAGATATGCAATGAATAATTTTTAAGTATTGGATGGAACATATTTAAGCTGAAAAATTATCTGAAATTCACACTTAATTGGGAATCCTGTATTTTTATTCACAGGATCTGGCAACTCAAGTCGGGAAGGAAAAGGGCACATTAGGAAGATGGAGGGAACAGAGATCCAGGATAACAAACTCCCAGTTTGGGGAAGGGACTTGCCCATGAGCTCAGGAGGCCACGTAAATTCACCGAGTAGGGAGCTGCCTGCCGCCCAGGCAGACCCACCACACAAGGGCCTGTGTGGGGACGTGGACGAACCTGGTCCTGCTTGTCCTGAGGGTCTGGGCCATCAGGGAGAGCAGACTCCTCTCCAGGTGCTGGGCCGGGGCCACCTGTGAATCCCTTCCCCACACCTGGAATCCCATAGTAAAAGGAAGGGGCAGAGGGCAGAAAGCTGGGCATTTGGGCCACTCAACCTGGAGCTACATCGATGCTCCTGGGCTTAGCAGGACTCCTGCTGTCAGGTTGGTCTGAAACCAAATTTGAGGGGAGGACTTGAGCCCGTGACCCAGGGGAGTCACAGTGGTGGACATGGAGGAAGATGTCCCTGGAGCCCCATTAGAGTGACCAGGGCAACCTGAAGACCCCCGGGAGGTCCTTGCTGGGAAAGGGGACTTGGTTGCGGCAAAGACAAGGTTTTTGAACATCATAGCCCTGGGGATGGACATGGTGGTGTTACAGGGGCTTTTGGGATCCACATCTCCTCTCCTAGGGACAGTGGGCCAAAACGAGGGTCTGTGGGGTGACCCCCTGCTCTGCCCTGCACCTGGAGGACAGCACCAGCCACCCTGGTATGCTGGGTGGGGCCTCTCTTCCTGAAGAAGACGGTCTGTCCCCAGGAGCCCCGGAACCAGGTCTCCCTCTTCCACCCTCCCTCCCGCAACCACAGAAACTCACCATCAAGTCAGGCAAGAAAAGCAAACTATTTATTTACACCTTGGTCTGTACATTAGAGTTCCTGAAGGAGCCTGCCTCTGAGAGCCTGCTCCTTTTTGGCTAGAAGCAGGTAGGGGGCAGAGAGCTCAAGGCCCTGGGACACAGCCTTGGGCCTCCCCCCTCCCCTTCCCCGGAGCCTGGGGGTGGAGGTCTCAGCCCAGCCCTGAAGCTAAGCCTGCTTCCAAATGGAGGCTCCTGGGGTGGGACTCAAGGAGAATCCCACAGAGTCAAAGCCATCTAACAAACCCTAGGGCATGAGGCCATACATGCAGCTTATCCAATCTGGGCCCCTGGGGTCCCAGCCAAGAAAGCAGGAAGGGCTGGGATGAAGGGAGCCGGCAGGCCGCGCGTGAGTCCTCAACAAGGCCGGTCCCGCCGCAGTCCAGCCCGCAGCCGGGGAATTAATGGCACTCGGGTCTGAGCACCTTGGGCAAAGGAGGAAGAGCTCGGCAGTTGTTATGTTAATGACGGGCCGGGGCAGCCGCCAGAAGCCTCTTCTTTCTGGCCACTTGGAGTCCAAGGCTGTTGACACCAGACGGCGGTGGTCCTGAAGGCAGCCCAATGCCAAGCACTGGGAGTCCCCCACTGCTGGAGCTTCCCCCGGGACCAGGGGCGCTGCTGCAGACCCATGACGTCCCTGCCCAGGCCAGGGCCCGCCGTGAGGAAGGGGCGCCCAGCTTTCTACAAATATTGACACCAATGCAGGGGAAGAGGTTTGTGGGAGAAGGTGCTTTACACAGTTACCCTTTTCTGGTGTGCAAGGCTTCTAAACTAGCTGCAGGCTGCACGGAGGGGCTAAGAGGGTCCGAGCCCTCCAAGCTGAAGACCACAGTAAAAAGAGTTCTGTACAAAGTTACCAAATCTGCAAGGCTGAGCGAGCAGAGCGGAGCCTCTCCACGTGGATCAACGTGCGGGGAGACCTGGCCTGGGAGCACACCGGCTGTGGTGGGGGCACGCGGACGCCAAGTGGGACGCTATGTACACATTTACAGGGCTTGGGAAGGACCAGGGGAACAAGAGGATGTAGAAAAGGGGCAGTGGGGACATGGAAAGTCCTGTACAGCAGCGACAGGGAAGAAAAAAGGCACAAGGACAACGACCCCAAACCATGCAGACAAAACACAGCCTGTGCAGCACAGCAAAGCAGAGGGACCCGGCAGGAGGCGCAGGCCCCCCCCTCGCCGCAACCCAGGGGCCTCGCAGGAAGCACAGTCTTCCCACAAACTCTGGGGCCCGGCAGGAGGCGCAGGCCCCCCGCCCCCTGGCAGCAGCACTCATGTCCTGCGTGGGCAGCCCTGGCATGCCATTTTCAGTCACCCTCCTGCTGGTGGCTCGGGGCAGACAGCCCTCCCCCTACAGTCTCAGGGAGAGAGAAGGAGCCTACAAGATCGGAGTGATGTACAGCATCACACTTCACCAGAGTCTATGCTTTTAGAAACCTTTCCAGAAGGCACCCGATTTTCTCAGGTAGGCAGCAGAGAATGTGGCAGAAGGGCCTTAGAGCTGTTCTGCCACACGGCTGGGCAGGCCCAGAAGGTCCCTAAGGTCAGTGAGTCAAGGGAAGGAACTTGCTTGAAGTCACCTGGGGGTATGTGGCCCCTCAACAGGCAGGGGGTACCAGCCTGAAGCATCGCCGTAGAGGGGCTGCCCAAGTCCCGAAGGAGGCATGACCGGGGAGGGGGCCAGCACTGAAGTCTTCAACCTAAAATCCTCCTTAGCGCTTTCATAGAGTTGCTATGGATCTGCCAGGCAAATGGTCATTTCCTTGGCATGGTGACCATCCCCAAACTTCCCTGCTTTTAGGTTTAAATTTGCTAATGCATTAAACACACATAGCCACAGAGCACAAAAAGTGGGCTTAATTCTTCCATGAGCCACCAGGCCCCACTGGCCCCTGCAGGTTTCTGCCGGTTACGAAGTCCCTCCTTGGAACCAAAGCGCCTTCACGGTGCCCTCCTGACCACTGTACCTGACGGGCTCAGGAACCAGACTTGCCAGCAGATGAGAGCCCGGAGCCTCCAGAACATAGGCTGGGATGCTGGTTTGACTACTAACAGTGGAAGAGCTGGGGTGACACTCCTCCACCCAGCCTGAAAACGGATCAGAGGCCAGTGTCCCCTCCTGCTCAGCTCTGTGAGTCGAAGACTATTTCTGGGGCTGCTTCAGGGGGGACAGCCCCTTCCGGACCCCTGACTCCAGAATGGGCCTGTGCGTGACCCCATGGGCACCAGGCGGAGACTTGCCCACTCAGGTTTGCTAACCCCCAGGCTGGAGAGAACAGCTTGGTACACCAGTTCCTGAAGGCATCTGGCCTCCCATCCCTGGGGTGAGGGATCTGCTCACTTCTCACCATCCATCAAAGCCACCGACACCCCCACTGTTAAGGTAGCACCTGGATTAACAAACCCGACAGCCATTTCCACCCGTTTTCTCCATCCCTGACTAGGAACCTTCTAGTCTCAACCTTGGGCCACACATCAGCATGGCCTGGGGATCTCTTTAAATATCTGGATGCCTGGGCCACACCCACACCAATTACACTGGAATCTTGGGGTGGGGCAGCGGTGTGGTTCAGCTCAGTCAGCAGAATTTCGAAAATCTCCCCGGGGTTATTCCGATGCACAGCCCAAGTCGAAAACCACTGTTTCGGGTCCAAGTGCCTTGGGAGGTTCTCGAGCTCTGTGATTGTAATAAGTAAGAAATAAAGTCAAAATAAAGGCATTTCCCTCTGACAATTCTCAAAGAATGTACAAACAAAATAATCTGTCTAACTTGGCCAATTCAAAGTTTAAAATATACATTTTTTTTTTTTACTAGAACTTTATAAAGCTCACTCACTGATTCTGCAAATTTTGTTGGCTTCCCGTTGAATGTAAGGATAGCCAAGTGCCGTGTAAAATGTGGGTCTGTTGTAGGACCCCCTCCGAGTGCTTCCCGAAACACTGCTCAACTTTGGAAGAGTTACTACTAATCCCTACTAGGTGGAGTTGCCAGGTTTAGCAATAACAAACAAAAAACAAAACGCACCTGGGCACCCAGTTAAGTTACAATCACCTGGGGGAGTTCTTTAAACATTCCAGTAGCTGGGCCACACCCCACGGCAATGAAATCGGATCCTCTGGGGATTCGGCCCAGGTATCAGAATTTTTCAAATCTCTCCGTTTGAGATGTGTCCCAAGTATTGCCTGGAACATAACTTCCACTAGTTGTGTTTTGCTTGCCTGAAAGGCACACCGGGCTGGTCCTCATGTGTACTACCTAAGCAGGTCCAGCACCCAGAGAGAAGAGGGGAACTCTCAATCAGACAACACACAAAGGAGGGGGAAGCCCAGGAAGGGGGCGGGGTCTGCCCCACTTGCTCCCAGAGTCAGTACCGCTCTGGAATCCTCGCTGGGGTCCATGGGGCTGGGACCCTGGCCGCATGTGCCTCCCGAAGGCTAGCTTTCACACATGGAAGAGCAGTTAAAAACACGACATGATCTTGAAAAGCCAACTAGAATGACAGCCTAGGTTTTTTTAAGACGATTTTGGCTGAAGAAGGTTGGATTGAACCTGAGGCCTGGGTGACATGGAGTTAGTCTCGTTTTAAAGTCAGCCCTCTTCCAGAGACCCCCATGCACAGCACCAGATCCCTGGGGGCCTTTCAGACGAGGCCGCTCCTGTTGCGCCGCCTTCAGGAAGGGGGCAGAAACATTGCAAGCCCACCGCTTTCCACCCCTTTTCAACAAAGCAGAAATTCCCTTCCACATAGTGACTGGGTAACCCAGGCCTCTGGGGCCTTCTCTGGAATTCCGTATCAATGCAGCTAAAGAGCACAGAAAGTTTTACATACAAAATGCTCACTCCTAGGGCGAGTCCCCCACGGACCAGGATCTTAATCTGGCTGGCCTCCGAAGGACTCCTTCCAATGTAAAATCCAGACCAAAGCCAAGTCATGATACATTTTCTTTCCTTTAATTCGGGGCCACTGCCGCCTTTTAGCAAATTCTCAAGAGACCCACTCCTCCTGCCTTCTTTCTACTGCCGCTGCTGCTTCTCAGACCCCCGGAGGAGCCCAAGGACACCAGCATCCTAGGGGCTTGAGAGACTCTCAGAAGATGGACCCCTTGCCCTAGTCTTCCTGGGGTGGCCGACCCCAAAGTCCTGGATCGGACCAACGCAGCCCCATTATCTGCGGCATGAAACAAATCCCACACATGAACTTAAAGAGAAATCACACGATCCAACAACAGCAGAAGGTGACTGGCATGGAGTGAAGACCAGTCCTGGTCACAGCCCTGCCCTTGTGAACAGGGAACGTGCATCCCCAAGCCCCCAAGCCCCTCTTCACCCTCTACAGCCCTCTCTTCCCAGCGAACACCCCTCCAGTCCCTCCCCAACATGCCCAAACTTTCCTTTTTACACCAGAATTGAAGACAAGAAGAAACTGCAGGGGAAAAGATTAAGACCGTACATGTTCAAATATACTTGGATTAAGGAAACAAATCACAAGCCATGTACCACTGAGATAAACTGGAAGGCTCAAAGTACCCTATCTACTCCCAGCTGCCTAGAACAAAAGATCACATTAAAAGTCCAGAGTGTGCATTTCCACCACGTGCCACTGAGGATGGAAAACTAAGGTTTCCCTACAACATCCCCAACTGTGTCTCTCACCGGCACACCGTGCCTGGCTGAGAGCAGAATGCAAGAGTGTTTCTAACAGTTGGAACCCGGGGCCCTCGACACCCAGCTGAGCTAAGCCCAGAGCTCAGAATCCCCAGGCCGTGTGGAGACTGGGAGCTGGGCAGCAAGGCCCACTCCTTGCCCGCCGATGCCATGGAAACAGTCCCTCCGTGTTTTTCTTCTCTTCTGGTAAAATGCAGCCAGAGGGAAGGAAACGAACAGGGGTGTGAGCATGCTCCTCCCTGAAAAGCAGGTCTTTGGATGCCCAATGCCAACACGTACTTTAGACACCCCTGGCCCCCAGCTCCCCCCGTCTCCTTTTGAATCTCTTCATTGTACCCCCAAGTTAAATGCTGCTTATTTTTCATGGTCTTAAAAATAAAACAGAAAGAGGTAGGTAAGCAAGGATGGGGAAGTGTACAGAGAACTCTAAAATACCAAGAACTCTTAGAATGAAGGTCGCCCCACATTAGCTCCTCTGCAAGCCTGAGTCCTTTGGACACACAGTGCCCAAGGATAGCGGGGGGCTGCCAGCCGGGGAGGGGCTCTGGGAGGGCCCCTTCATCTTTTCAGAGCCTGAGCACCTAGGCTTCAAAGGTGGCCACAGAGGTTGGGGAGGATGCAGCTGTTGGGCATTTGAACTCCTGGAAAAGATCAGAAATTGGCTCCCACTCCCAGAGGGAACAGGGGTGGGGTGAAAGAGCCTGTCTCACTAGAGCATGTTTTAATCCTTCTCCCCAGAGGTAGAATCATTTTTGTCTGGTATCTGAAACACCATCTTCCAGTTCTTGTTATTACAGTAACTCCTGATCGCAGACCTTGCCCCTCCCACCTCCAGGACCATCTGCCCTTGCAAAGGGGCCACGGAGTGTGTGCACAGGAACGGTACAGATGTCACCCAGAGCCACTGCCCCACACTCACGCCTTGCTGCGTGCACGGATTCCTCCACATACACACCAGTACACACGACATGGTGGCCAGAGATACATTTACAGTGTGTGTGTGTGTGTGTGTGTGTGTGTGTGTGTGTGTGTGTGTGAGGCCCGGCTTGGGCCGCATCCTCAAGCGGGGTCTGCCCCTTGGTCCCAGGGCCCGGGGTCTGAGGGTCCCCAAGGCCGCTCTGCAGCCATCCTTTGTCTCAGTGTTTGATCTCAAGGATGGAGGGGTTGTGGTCCAGGATGGCAAGGATTATCTTGTCCATGTACTGCCTCAGCCGGAAGTTGATCTCCTCCTGCTCCTTCAGGGCTTCCATGAGCTGGAGGGAATGGGAGACATGGGTCAGAGGCCGGGCCCGGGCTCTGGTGCAGAGGGAGCCCAGATTCCCAGCTTGCGGTGAGCCGGTGCCCAACGAGCTAGGGGCTCAGGAGACCCCGGGCAAGGCAGACCTTGCCTCAGGAGACCCCCAGGCAAGGCAGGACTAACCTCGGCATTCGGATGCCAGAAGCAAGCTACAGCAGCTCTGGGAGGGCCCCTTCTCACACCTAAGGAGTGAGAGCCATGCACGTGCCCAGGCCCCGCCCCCCAGGGATTCGGATCCAGCTGGTCTGTGGAGGGACCCAAGTAGGAGCAATTACTTGGTACAGGCTGAGAACACTGGCCAAAGACATTTATGATCAAGAATGACATCCAAAGTCCTCGGGCCCTAAGACTCCTGAGGTTTCTAGCCGTTTCCTCTACCTGAAATGGCCCCCTCGCCACCCCAGCTCTGCCCCCCACCCCCACCCCGTGTAGGTCCATTCCTGACGTGTCCTTTAGGAGGAAATGCTGGCTCTGCCACCAGGCTGGAGCCCCTTGAGACGAGGGGTCAGCTCTTAGCTCTGTGTCCCAAGCACAGGATAAGGGTTCAGGGACTTCTTAATGATTCACGTTAATATATAACCAGGACATTTTGGAGGCCTGATTTTTTATAACCAAACCCTGGTGGGGCAGAAAGAATGGACTTTGGTTCTGGAGACCTGGGTCCTTCGCTCCCCACAAGTTGGGTGATCTTGTGTCGTAGTTTCCCAATCTGTAACATGGAAGCGTCCAGAAAGCCTTCCAATTGTCAGAAGATATACTACAAGCAGGTGCTCAAGAAAGGCTAGGGTCCTCCCCCTCTTGGCTTGAGGGAGAGGAGTTCTAGCCTCTCCTGTGCTACCTGTTGATGGAAGCATGTTGATCAACTGGCATGTTTCTGTCTGTTCCCAAACCCATGCTTCTCCCAGCGCATGGAGGAATCAGAACTGACGTAACTCCACCTATAGCCAGAATCCCTCACGGCTCTGGTCTGCTTTTCCTGCTCGGGGTGGCCTGGGCTTCTCGTCACAGCACATGGGAATGGGACAGGACAGAGGAAGGGCCGAGGCTCCAAAGCGAGAACGAATGGGCATGTTACCTCATCGCGAGAGGCTGTGTCTATTTCTGCAGCCAGAGACTGGGCTTTGGTCTGGGTAGCAAAGAGGTTCTTTGCTTCATAGAGGCTGAGGCTCAAGATCTGTCCATTCAAGTCATCATTCTGATCCCGCAGCTTATGATTCTCCTGTGGAGTAGGACAAGGGCAACATCAGCTCCCAGAAATGTTCAGAACCCACCAGAACCCATTTCTTGGCATTCACGGTCTCCTGACTCCCACCAGTACCCTCCTCTCGTGTGTGTCACGGCCAGCTCAAGATGCCCATAGATGATGTGGCCTCTGCCAGGCTTAGGGGGGAGGTCTGGACGTTGGGAGGTCATGGGGTCCTGAGGAGGAGTTACAGGCCTGCTCAGGGGAACTAAGTTTCTAGATAGGGGCAGGGCTCCTGGGGGTGGGTGAGCCAGAAGAGGAGCTCCTGAGGCCCCACATGGGGACACGGCCCACTGGGTGGCTCCTTTTCCAAAACCGGCCCTCCATGAAGAGTGATGCTCTGGGGTCTCTGGGCTGGCAGGCTGGATCTAGGCTCCTCCTGCAGCTAGGTTCAGGAATCCTGCTCCAGGACAACTCTTTCCAGGGGCATCTTTGCTCCCGAGTACAGGGGGCCCCACGGTGCCCTGCCCAGACCTCATGGACCAGCACCATGTGCTAGTGTTTGCCTCAAGTCTCCTAACTAACTGCTCACACCTGGGACTTTGGACGTCCCATCATGAATGCGGAAGGGCTGGGGTTTTAGGATTGCTGGGGGATGCTGGTGAAGCCGACTCAGGAGTGTAATTTATAGAGCAGTTTCCCCCGCCCCCAGGGTCAGGCTAGGCTGAGTGGGGGCTTCACTCACCAGCACTCCCTCGCTTGGTCTCTGCCCCTCCTGATCCAACCTCCCCCAACTGGTCTTCGACCATGGGATTGTTCCTGGGAACCATTTAAAATGGAACCCTGGGCTCAGGGTCTGCTTCTGGGAGAACCCAACACAGCAAGGCACCAGTCTGCAACTGGGTAGAGTCTCATTCTCCATCCCATCATCAAGGACAGCAGAGTGGTGTCTATTTCCTTGTAGGGACTCCAAGGAAAGCCCCTGGGGTTTGCATCAGATGCAGCCTAGAGGGAAGCCGCCTCGCCGAGCAGTGAGGTGGGGCCGAGCAGCCCCGCCAGTCAGGGAAGGTGCTGTTACAGCTCTTGGCCCCTCCGAGGAGACCCATCCCGTGGGGAGGGAGGCTGCAAGGGCCCACCTGCTTGAGCCGCTTGACCTCATGCTCCAGCTCCACCTCGCGGGCCCTGGCACTGAACTCGCCCAGGCTAGAGGACAAGCTGCGACCCCTGCCTGGCCGCTCGCAGTCCAGCTTGTACATCTGTAGGTGCTCCAGCTCCTTCCGCAAGTCCTCGATGAGCTGCGTGGGCAGAGGCGGGTTGGTGGTGGGAGCGGGGCTGCGGGAGCAAGCCCTGGTGCCCACCCTCCTCCCCTGCTTCCCCCCGCACGAGACCCACCTCCTGCGTCGCCTCCCGTTCCCTTTGGAACTCTAGGCGGTTCTGCCGCAGCTTGTCCATCATGCGCTTGTACAGGTCTGTCTCATCCTTGAGCCGCAGGCTCGTGTCCTCCAGCCGGTCGGACATGCGCTGCCGCTCCTGAAGCGGGCAGTGGGGCGGACCCGGTCAGGGAGGAGCGTTCCCAGAGAGGCTCGCTACGCCCCGGGGACTCGGACAGGGCCCTGGGAGTCAGGGCTTAAAGAAACAGCCTGGTCCCTTAGGATTCTAGAAACACGGCTAAAAAATGTCAGGCCTCTGACGTCCTTCCCTGGTGCCGGATGAAACCTGAATCAGGTGCAGCCAAGCAGAAGTTAACCTCCTTCTCTCTTTTTTATTATTGTTTTCCCCCCATTATATAAGAAAATATATTCACTGCAAAAAAACAAAACAAAACAAAAAAAAACCTTGGAAAATCAGAAATACAGAAAGACAAATTACTATTCATATTTTATTGCCTATTGTTGTTGTTAGAGCAATTCTATTAGAATTCCAGAAACTAGCAACTGAAGGCCTTTGTGGCCCACATTGCCTCTCTGGGGATTGAGCTCAAGATCCGAGTCTGACAGACGCCCAGACCTGCCGCTCACCTCGTCCAGCTTCTCCGTCTGTGCCTTGAGCCGGGTCACTGTTGTTCTGAGCTCTGCATTTTCCTCTTCTAGTTGCTGTACCCTGGGGAAAGGAGAAAGACAAAAATGTCAGCAACGGAGATGATCTTACAATAGATCGACAACTTGCAGCGATCCTCTGCTGCCTGCAAGAGGGAAGGTACCAGAAAGCAACAGAGGTAGAGCAAGAGAACAAGAGAGTATGAATAGTTATTCCAGATGATAATACAGCTTTAAGCTTCCTGTCATCCAAGGCGAAAAGGTAAAGACACTGAATGACCATCCTTATGTTGTTGTTGTTTTTTTTTTAAAGATTTTATTGATTTTTTAACAGAGAGAGAGACAGCGAGAGAGGGAACACAAGCAGGGAGAGTGGGAGAGGGAGAAGCAGGCTCCCCACTGAGCAGGGAGCCCGACGCGGGACTCTATCCCAGGACCCCGGGATCATGACCTGAGCCGAAGGCACACGCCTAACGACTGAGCCACCCAGGCGCCCCACCCTTATGTTTTTGATAAAAGGAAACATTCATTTGTGAGTAAGAACATAGGATTCTTTTTGCACGCGTCCTTAGGAGGGATGTTTTTCTGCTCAACAGAGAGAAAGTCGTCCTGTGGCCGGCTGTGGCCGGACTTTCCTGTTAGAACTCACAGAGAGCAACGACAATATTTGCTTGTCTTTCTCCCCCCAGCATCGCCCCCCCCAGGCTCTTCGCTCAGCTCGCCCAGCGGCCCCCTCTGACACATCCACAGGCCCTGGTTCTGACGGTCCCGGTCCTCTATGTTAGTGTTCACAGGGGCCCGTGCTAACGGGATTCCCCAAGGAGACACAGCCCAGGTCCCCAGGTCATGGTAACTGACCCGAGGCCAGGGAAGGTGGGCAACCAGTGGCACGAGAACAGTGCCGGGTCACCTCTGCCACTGATTGCTACCAAACATTCCCTCTCCTTCGCGCTTGTCACCTCGGGGCTCCCCAGGAGCACAGGGGCAGGTGTCCTCTCTGCCAGGGACCCCGGTGGCCTCCTGGGGGCCTCGCTGGCCTGGGTCATTAGAGAGGACCACAGCACCCTAACTCACCTGCCTTCACGGTCACTCTGGGGGGCAGGGAAGGAGGGATGACAGATGGGGAAATGGAGGCCCAGGAAAGGACACGGTAGGTCCAAAGTCATGGAGCTAAAGGGTGACCAACCCAGATTCCCAGGTCAATACTCCTCTCTCTGCCTGCCTCAGCTTCCAACAGCTATCGCTGAGGTTCAGAAGCCCAAAGGAAACCGGGCCCTGCTCTTCATTTACCTTGGCCCCTGGGGCCCAGGGTCAGTGCACCCAAGCATTCAGGGTCAGGGAGAATCTGACAGCAGGGGGAGCTCCGAGCCCAGACATCAGACCCAGCCCAGGACTAGGGGCAAAACCATGTTTTTCCACCTGTTCTCTTGTTTACACATGTGTGTTGTTTCCAGTTGTACCCAGTATGAACAATGCTACTATGAAGGTTCTGTTATGTACTTCCTGGCAAACATGTCCAGGTGCTCAGGTATCAAGAGGAGAACTGTTAGAACAGGGGACTTTCCTTCAGGCTCCGTGTTCCAATCTATACAAGGGGGATAGTGCCTGTCCCACAGGCCTGGATGAGGAGTGGAGGGTGCGTCCGAGGGCAGAGGGCTCTGTGGAGAGGCCCTGTCTCGCGCGCTGGGCCATCCCTGGCCGAGGCCCACCTGGTATTGAGCAGCTCGATCTCCGTGCTCTTCTCTCTCTCCAGCTTGCTGTAGGCCTCACGGTGCCGCCGTGCCTCCTCCTCCAGGGCCTGCTCGGCCATGGTCTCCTGATCTTTCACCATCTCCTCCAGCTCGTGCACCCTGAGGAGAGGGGCGCATACTCCGGTCCAGGGTCGGCTCTCGTGGCCGCTGTCTTCCCACCTCAACCTTGGCTGCGACTCCGGGAGCCCCCGGCCCCAAGACCCTGGCTCAGTAACAGCCCTGCCGTGGAAAGTGGTGGCCTGCTTGCCAGGCCTGGGGGTCAGCAGCTTCACTGACATGCCTTTGGGACACCACAGCATGTAAGGGGAGGTGGACCGGCCAAGCTCACCACCCAGGGGAGCACCTGGCGGTTGGTCCAGAGGGGAGCAAGGCTGCACCGAGAAGGCGCATCCCCAGGCCAGGCACGGGGAAGGATAGCAGGCCTCGCCCTGGCCGCATGGAGCAGCCCTCGGGCCTCCTCTTCTCTTTCTGCTCTCCTCCTTCCTGGCCACTGCCCTCTGACCAGCAATTCAGTGACTGGCCACCTTGATTCCAAAAATGAGTAAGTCCTTTGATAGTGGCCCTGAGTGTGCCAGACCCAGCAGCCTAGCTGGCAGAGCAGTCTAGCGCACATTTCACTGGCAATAGTCCCTCCGGAGGCTGACCTTCTGGGGTGTCCAAGAGAACCCATTTTTGGGCCCTGCAAGGTTGAGGACCAGACCCCGGCTGGGGATCAGTTTACCAAGTTTCATGCCATCCTGTGAGGACCACTACACTGTGCAAGCCCTACCTCGCTGCAATCATGGTCGGGAGCGGGGGCAGTGATGCCTGGACCCTTCCACTAGCAGCAGGTGCGAGCCCCCGACTCACACCAGTCTCTCCCTCTGCAGAGCCTGTCCCCAGATGGTGGGGGGAGGGGTCAGAGAAATAGGAAAGCGGATCCCAACTCCTGCCTTAGACCCACCCTGGGGCTGCAGACCTGGGAGTCAAGGTCAGGCTCCAACCCATTTCCGAGTCCCCAGAGATCAGTTCTGGGTGTCCTGCAGGGGCAGGCCCATGTAGCAAGGGGCTGATGCATCACAGCCTCTAGAGGGGAAGGACAAGACGTGCAGGTGACCTCCCCCAGCTTTTCTCAGGGGCCCTCACAACAGAGACCGCCATCCGTTCCTGAGTCAGCCGGGGCCCACCCAAGCCAGCCCCCTGGCCCCGACCTGTGCACCAGCTGCGTGTTCTCCTGCTTCAGCTTGCTCTTCAGGTCCCCATTAGTCAGGCTGTCATTCTCCAGTTCAGTCACCTTTTTTTCCAGGAAGCTCACCTGCGAGAGGGGGGCAGAAGTGGGGGTGGAGGAAACCTCTGAGTGCACAGGATGGAGAAGCAGAAACCGTGGGGCGGACGGCCAGCCCCCCAAGTGACTGCACGAAGGGTGGTGAGGGCGGGGGTGTTATGTGCCCACGCTACCAGGGCCGCCTACCCCCACCTCCTGCAGCAAGGACAGGCTCTCCGGGCCCCCAGGCCCCACCTTCTCCGTGATGTCGTTGTCACAGGAGTCAATGCTGTCCCGGAACAGATCCTCGGTGCTGCCGTCACTGCTACTGAAGTTGCTGCTATGCATGAGCTGCCTGCGGCGGGGGGAGGGGGGGGCTGGAGCGAGCTGCAGAAGCCGCCCTCCGGGGGCTGGGGTCCAGAGCAGGCTATGGGCCGAGAGGGGGCACCCACTATGTTGGGAAGGGAGGCCAGAAACCCAACCAAGGAGGCGGTCCTCATCCAGTCAGGGGAGAAGAGTTGCCTGACCTGAACTAAGAGATCATCCAGCTCAGAGGCAGCTGGGCATGACACCCCTCCAGAGCCCCTGGCGGATATGGCCAGTCCCTCACGGCTCTGCCCTGCTGCCTCACCTCCCTTTTCAGGCCGGTCTTCTAGCCAGCAACTAGCCAGTGACCGGAGTGGGCACGTGAGCCCCCAACCACCTCCCTCCAGCTGCATAACTGCCCCGTGAGGGTAGACCAGCCCCACAGGGCTGGCAGACGGTCCTCCTGAGGCCTCCCCGCAAGACTCAATCCCCTGCAGCAAACCGGCTCCTGCTGTACCTCTGGGGACCCTGGGAGAGGGCAGAGGGAAGGAGGCCCACCCAGACCGGGCAGGGCATAAGCGGCCAGCGGTGGGGGGGCGGTCTGCAAACAGGAAACACTTGCCGGGGAATGCTTGCTGGAGGCAAAACCCAGCTACCGCTCTCCAGAGGCCCCCACTCCCCACTCCCTGCCAGGCAGCAGTCAGGGTCTCCGCCAACGAGCTCTCCTGTCCCAGCCTGGGTGCTTGCTGGCTGCTCCCGGAACCCTGGGCGTGGACCCGGGCCAGTCGGCCGGAGAACCTGGATCCTGAGATCCAGAGCGGGATCCTGGAAGTCCCGGGAAGTGAGCTGCGCAGGATGTAACCTGGAGCCAAGTGACCAGCTCCAACGGGGCACCCTGCTGCCCAATCTCTGTGAGTGGGAAACCCAAGAGGTGCTGGTCCAGCTGCTGGCCCCAGAGTGCAGGGAGGGCCACCAAGGGCCGTGAGATGGGCCGGGTCCCTCGGGGCATCACCGCTGTGCCCACCTGAAGCTGACACAGCGAGAGGTTGGGGCGAGACCAACTGCACCACCGCCAGAAGGGGCAAGGTGTGGGGGTGGGAGGAGTGTGACCCTTCTTTTTCAGAAGCAGACCTCTTCTGGCCGCTTGGCCTGCACTTCTGGGATGCTTCATTCCCCTCTGTGCATTCAGGGGGCCACCCTGGCAGTAGGAGCATAATTAAGGGAGACAGCATTCAACCCCTCCTCCCAAGGGGGGCCTTACCGTCCAAAGGCTGTGCTAGAGATCTTCCGGTTAGGGCTAGAGAGAGAGATTCAGAGATTGAGAGAGAGAGAAAGGACAGTCATTGAACAGAGGGGGCTCCAGGCTACTTCTAACTCTGCAAGACTCCAAAGTGCAGTATGGGGCTCTGTTCCACCCCCTGCAGGGAATTCACTAATCAGCTTGGTCCCGAGTAGAAGCACCTTGATTTTCCTGTCGCAGAAAAATGCAAGCTCCCCAGGATCAATCCTACTCTGACAGTGCTCTCACACTTGCCAAGACAGAGTGGGGCCACCTCGCCTGCGGCTTCCCCCGCTGGGTCCCCCCACCCCACCCCACCTAGCCCTGGCCTCCCATCCCTCTGCTGGGTCCTGGGGCCCCACCTGTTGGCCTTCAGGTTTTTCAGTCGGGCTTCCAAGTCATTCAGCAGGTTGATTTTCTTGCAACACTGAGAGCAGTAAACATCCAGCAATTCACTGTTATAGGTGTGCCGCATTTTCCTAGGAGTTTGCCCCGCACTGATTCAGGAGAGAGAAAGAAATCACCTCCTGCTCTCCGATCTGCTGCCTCACCTCATCCTGCTGAGCTTACTTTACTGGATTCCGCAATACTGGGGACCCTTGTGTTCTGTGCGTTTAGGGGCAGAGGAAGTAGAAATACAGCAACACATCTCCCCTCCCTCAATACTCTCAGAGAAGCCAATGAACGGTACCCATTTCATAGATACGGCAACTGAGAGCTAAGCAATGACTAGGTGTGTGGGTCACCTAGGACCTTTCAACACCAAGGTTCTACTAGGAAGCAAAACAACAAAGACCCCTGAGTCTGCAGCCTCCCAGGTGGGTTCATTCTGTTTCTTCCCTGAGATAGGAGGAGGGAGGAGGAATTCTAGACCCCCACCTGAGTGCAGAGGCAGCACCCCCAAACCCTGGGAGCAGAACCCATGTAGCTTAGGACTCTGCCCTCTGAACCCCCCTGGGACGAGGTTGGGTTGGTCCGGCCACTTCTCCTTATACCCCAAATGCCATTCCAGACCCCGGGGCCACCTGGAAGACACTGAAGATCCCAGGTCCGAGTAGACATTGGTCCTGGTCTCGTCGTCGGGGCAGGGGCTGCTGGGGGCACAGTCCACGTCGTCCCCCTCCCCATAGTCTTCAAACTGCTCCTCGTTGCTGATGAGCGAGGTGGTGGAGTGCGTGGAGAGGTCTGACGTGGTCATGGACGGAGTGTGGCCCAAGGACCTGGGCGTCAGAGAAGGTTGGCCGTTAACACAGCTCCGTCTGCAGCCCGTGCTGGGGAAACAGACCAGGCTTCCTGGAGGTCAGTCTGCGCCCCAGAGAGCAGAGGCCTGATCGAGTTTGTGCCTTCTGACCTGGTAAGTACACTTCGGCGACCTCATCCTAAGGGAACACATCTCACCACAGAAACGGTTTCTGCACAAGAGATGTCCAAGCCACTGCTTCCCTAGAGCACCAAAACACTGCTTACCGCCTAACAGCTTCCCTACCTTAAGTCACAATAAATTATAATTACTCATATAGCATATAAAATCATACATCCTACGTTGCTAATATTAGCACATTAAATGATTAAGTTACAGTTGCAAAATTATAATATGGATTAGGAAATTAAATTATCAAATTATGGATTATCTAATTGTTGAAAGGTTTGTAAACGATACTAGCAATAATATGGAAAGATCAGTAGGAATTAAAAGTTACATGTAAAAACTTAAGGCGGAGAAAGTAAAAGGTGTCTACAGAATAAGGAAAAGCAGGGCATGAAACTATTTCCATGGTCGCAGGGCTGGGGTCTGGGTGGTGGGATGAGGAGTAGCTCGGTTATTCCCCTCCATTCTCCCTTTCCTACCTTTTGCAAGTTCTGTTTAATTGGCTTGGACTCTAATAAGAAATGAGATTTTAAAATAAATAACCGTGAACTACCAGGTGAGGTGCTCCTCCCGGTTTACAGAGGGGACTTCTCGTCCAAAGAAGCCTCGCTGCAAAGAACGTGGGTCAGAGACCCTAGGCCTCTCTGGGGTGACCCACCGTGTGGCCTGTGAGGGGCGTCAGGGGCTGGCTGAGCCCTGACCGCAACCTGAGAAGGAAGCACAACTGGTCATCTGCCAAACAGACCTTCCCTTGAGTTGTTGTGAGGTCGTGTCTGCGTATCGTCTCTCATGAGGGATAGTTCTCTGACCTCCTAGGCCTCCACGCTCCACACTGGGCAACCCGACTCAGTGACGAGAAGCAGGGAACCGGTTAAGGCGGTAATTCTCCAACCGTGCCCTTGAGCCATCCTGGTCTCTATCTGAGAACCTCCACCCTGTTTTTTGTTTTTTTGAAACTCATTTCTCTGCCCTCAAGTTCCTTAGCGCCTTGGGTGGAATTCATCATACTCCTCAGCTCTTTCTCCTAGACATTTTACTAAAACTGCCCCCACCGCCCCACCCCGCTGGCTGCCTCCAGGTGATTGGTCCCAAAAAACAAGGTGAATGACCAAGTGGCAAATGGTTAGCCAAAAGGTCACCAGGTCTGTGGTCCCTGACCAGTTGTCCTTGGTGGCTGGTCATAGTACCCCTGACGGACTGCTCTCAGGACGCAAAATGGATGAACAACTCCAAAGACCCCCCCCGCCCCCCCGAGAACAGCCTGGCTCCCAGAGCCACTTGAGTCTGAGAAGCCCTGCACTGAGAAAATGTATATGAAATTGCCTTCTTCTTCTTTTTTTTTGAAGGTCAGAAGTGATGAAGAATTGACAATTTCATATGGCTCAGCTGATACTGGCACCCCTTCCCCTCCCCAAATCTCTGGGTTGGCCGTGGCCACCACTTTCTGATATGTGGAGCTCCAGGCAGCTTTAACTCACTTGTCCTCCGGCAGGAACAGGCCCCCAAGCCCTCCATCCTTCTCCTCGGCAACTGACCCCTCCAGACTCTGGGTGCTCTCCATGGGGCTGTCCATGTCTGACTCTGGGGGGCCCTCGGGTGGAGCCAGTGTCATAGCCTCCTCCTCGTCCTCAGGAAAGAAGCCGGGGACCCTGGGGAGGCGCTCGCCATCAGCAAAGGTCGGGCCTGACACCTCGCTGCCCTGGGAAAGACAGAGAGGGACAGAATGAGTGAGGCTGGCTCCCCGGGGCTCAGCACACCTCATCAGACTACAAGGACACCATCAGGGACAGGAACAGCAGACGGTGGGGGACAGGGAGGCCCAGACCCCAGGACCTTGAGAATAGGAATACCTGGCAGGTTATTTGTCTTGGACCTCTCCCAAAGGCTGCTTCGTGAGAGTCCAGTGAGGAGTCAGAACCCCCGGGGACAGCCATCCATGGAGAAGGGGCCGGCTACATTGCTCAGGGCACTTGGACAGCTCATCAGGGTCCCCATCACAGTCTGCACAAGCAGCTTTGTGACAGAGTTAAGGGCACAGCTGTAATGAATGGCTCCCAAGAACAGCGACCCCGACCTAGCAGATGGACGCAGCATGGAATCTGTCCCCCATGATTCCGGGCATGTCAACTGACCTCTGTGAACCACAGTTCTCTCCGCGGTAAATTGAGAATGACAATGGGATCTTATATAGGATCACTATGTCACTCGGGAGGACCTCAATGAATAAATTCTGGCCACAAGACGTGGCTCTAGCCTGGGAGGGGCAGTCTGCCATGGCCCACCCCAGCCATGCTGGGGAGCGAGAACACTGGGTCCTTCGATTCTGAGCTTGGGGTTGGTCCCCAGTGCCCAGCACACGGCCCAGCACAAGGTCAGCAGCGCGAGACAAATACTTGCTGGAACCTTTTGCTAAAATCATCTTGCATGTCAAGAGCTCTGGCTTTATTCGGAGCGTACCCAGTCTGAGAGGCAGCTCTCTACAAACCATTTCTTGGGGCTGCCACCTCCAAGGATGCCCTGCTTCCACCTGCTCCCCTCTGAGACATCAAGCTACTCCCAAGGTTCTTGGGCGGGCAGAACCCTCTGTGAGAGGCACTCCCTGCAGCCCCAGGACTGCAAGACGGGTAATAGAACAAAGGCTGGGCAGGGCCTCTAGGCACCTCAGACAAGAACAGGATCAGGCACAGGCAAGGAAGGTGGTCAAAAACAGGCTTGGTTGGGCCCAGCGAGAAGGGCGCAGTCTCCCGCTGCTGGTGGGGGGCAGGCAGCCCTCCTGGCGGTCTCTCCCCACCAAGACTTCCTGGCCTAAGTATAGATGGCAAATAATGAGCTTGGCTCCTGCCTGTGCCCTGACTCGGGCTGAGCATCGCATGGACTAATAAAGTCGGCATCAGGCAGCCAGGGCCCCCTGACTGGGGAGGCCGAGGGGCTGTTTAATTAAAACCACCCCTAGTGTTCACAGTCCTTTCCACCTTGATGTCACTCGTCCAATCCCACATGGCTCCCAGCCTCATCGGATCTTGGACCCTAAGTAAGGTCCCCTCATCGGCAAGCCCGAAGCTGCATCCCAGGAGAAACCGACATTTACTGAGCAGTCACCAAGGTCTGGAGACAGAACAAGAGAGTTAACACAGAATCTTCGGTGGGCTTATGACAACTCTTCAGAACAGGGCTTCTTAGCCCCAGTTCACGAACGAGGGTATTCAGGAACTCAGAGAGTAGCCTGCCAGAGCTCCAGAAGTCTTCCAGCCAGCAGGCAGACGGCCACCTACCTCTGGCCACCACCAGCTTGGTTCCATTTATCAGGGCTGCGACCCACACTTCATGCGTTTTTCCGTCTCATGGTGACAAGGAGAAGAGTGCCCATCCGAGGAGCACATTAATAAGTGTGGAGCCCGGGCACTCCAGCCCATGCTGCCCACCGCCCGCCGCGGCAGGGAGCACCTGCGTCAGTGCGCGGCCCCGGGAAGAGAAGCCAGGCAGCGGGGAGATGGCCCACGGAGGGGAGGCGCCTGGGCTCTGTCCCTTTACCTGTGAGCTTTCTGCCTTCTCAGCCACGAGGGCGGGGGGAGGTTAGCGCTTGCGAGGAAGGCCTGCCTTGGGGCTTCCAGGAGTCCTTGGCCACTTCTGGTCTTCAGAGCCCCATAAGTTGGGTCTCCTTTCTCCCCTCGTGGTGGGGAGGGACTTGCCTGGGGCCCCATGGGAGTTGGTGGCAGGGGAGGACTGGACTGTGAGCCACCAGCGCCTACACTCTCCTCAAAGCACGGTCAGCAGGGGTCCCGGGGAGGCCGCTGCCCACCACGCTCCCAGGGGGCAGGCAGGGCACCAAGTAGAGACCAGCAGCCATGCTCCTCGGGTGTCCGGCCTGGCCTGCGGGTGGCTAATCCATGTTTGTCACAGTGGACACGGAGATGTAGAGGCCCCGTTTTTGCCGGGCACTCTGCCCAGAGACCCCCAACTCACCATATGCGGGTGGGGACCACAGCCCCTCTCACCAGATGTCCCGGAGCAACATACCCACTCCCAACAGCTGGGCCAAGAGAAAAGAGTGGCCTGTCTCGGCCATAGCTGGGGCAGTAGCAGGGTCAGATGCCCCCACGGGGGTCACTCTCTCCCAACAAGACCACCACTTCCTCAGGCATAATTTTATCCCCTGACTGAGCAGAATCCACATCTGCCTGGCCCTTCACAGTTGACAGAGCACGCGGTGTGCATACATAGCCCCATCCGGGTCTGACAACAGCCCCAGGAGAGCCCCAGGACGAGTACAGGGCAGGGATAAAGGATTCAGAGTCTTCGTCTGACACATGGGGAAGATGAGGCTCAGAGTAGGCGGGGTCTGCCCTGGAACTTCCCTGCTACAGAAGCCAGGCTCTTGACATGCCAAGTCAGGGCCCCTCAGAGCCCCCTCGCCACACACATACATACACACACACACATACATACACACACGCGCACACGCACACTGTCAACATACCAGCTTTTTCTCTTAAAATCAGCTGCCTCCCCACATTAACACGTTTTCATTTGACCCACTGTTGTTTGCCCAAGGCAAGTTAAAATTTTTAGGACTTCAAAACCATTTCTAGCAGTTTTCCTCTAAATTCAAACAATATAAAGACAGCTATAAGAAAAGTAACCAGATACCCTGGTTGGTCCAGACGGACAGTAGTGGTTTGGCATTTGTCCTGGACAAAAGTGGCTCTGTCACCCCTGCTCCTCCCTCGGGAATGTCCTGACCCTGCTCCCATTCCTCTGGGCCGTCTGGGGAAGGGCTTGGTGTAGCCCCGGGCCTGGGAGGGGTGCTGCTGGAAGGGGGCACAGCCTGCTCTGATCCCAAACACCTCAGGAAGGGAGGCAAAGCACGGGCAGTTGCTGGAAGGTGCTAGAAGGCCACTGCTCATTGGCTTGGAGACTAGGAAGTATGCCTTCCTCAAGAGGCTAGGCCTGGGGAATTATCAGAAACCTGAGACCGGCGGCCTGCGGCTGGGAAAACAGGCCCTATCCAGTTGCTCTGGCAGGGCAGGTCTGCATCCCCAGTGTCCCCCTCCACCTCCCCACCCTGTCTCCAGCTGGGACTGGATGCAGCTGGCCCTGGCGAGAAGTGGGAACCCAGAGGCGCACAGGCTGCCTGTGGAAGCCCCTCTCCAGTGAGAGCAGCATTTGCCGGCCAGTGGGCCCCAAAGTCACCCCTTCCTCTGTAGGAAGTTGGCACAGGCTGAATTCAACAGCTGGTAAAAAAAAATTCCCATGGTGGGACAGGGCATCCCAGCCTCAGAGGGGCCAACAACGCCCTGCTGTCCACACTCCCGGGGGCGGGGGCGGGGGCGGCAGGGCCCAGACACCAGGACTTCATCTGGTTCTCCCCACCCCCCACTTGGCCCTAGTGGGACGCCACCTCCAAGTCACACACACCACTACTCCATTTTCATGGCAGCTAGGGCACGGACTCCAAGGGACCCCACTCCTACATTCCCCGCGAGAAGGCAGGCCCTCCGGGGGGTCACCATGGGGACGTCTGCGTCCGAACCCCCAGCATCAGCACCGCAAGGGGCACATGGCAGGTGAGCGGCAAGTGCCTGTGACAGCAAACTGTGCCGCAGAATGGGGGGCTGGGAAGAGCCCAACTGCGGCAACCCCGAGGCCCAGGTGCCCGGCTGGCATGCTCACTGGCCGCCGTGCAACCCCGGAGGAGGTGTTCAGTCTCTGAACCTCAGCTACAAACAGAGCTGGAAACACCCAGCTGGCAAGACTGCTGTAGAGAACCTACGTAGAACAGTGCCTCATACCTCACGGATGCTGGGAACACGGCAGAGAGGAGAGGGGGGCAGAGCAGTGTTGGGAGCAAGCTCTGGAGGTGGACCCACTGGGTTCAAACCCCAGCTCCACCCCTCAGCTCTGCAACCTTAGGTTTACTGAACTTTTCCATGCCTCAGTTTCCCCATCCACAGAAGGGAGTTAACGGTCATCAGGAAACGAGTTAGTACACGTGCTAAGCACACACAGAAAAGGACCAATAAATCTGAGCTATTATGATCTTCAGGGTGTTGAGAGAAGACAACCAGGGGTGTCTCCAGGCCTAATGGCCTCTATCCAACTCCCTCCCACCCCACCCCCTGGGACCCTATCCCGTTGACCCCCAGTGACACACCAGGTGGAGGTCGGCTGGGTTCAAGCTTCCGGAAGCCTGAAGTTTGCAAGTTACAGAGGTGCGGGTGCCTCCTTTCTCCCCACTAGGGCTGTCTTCTACATATGCTCTTGGAAGGGATCTCTAAACGTTAATTACACACTTTAGTAAGTGTTAGGATGAGACGCTGCCTGGGCAAGGGGGTCCAGGAGGCTTGGAGGCTCCGGCTCACCCACCCCCAGCCCTGGCAGCGGCTTCGCTTCCCAGGCGGTAACTCAGAGCCAAAGAACAGCCCAGTGAGGACAGGGCTGGGTAAAAATAGCCCGACTGGGCACATCCCAGCTCCCCCTCGCAGTCAGGCACCCGCGGGCACATGTGGAACCCCACTGCAGGGAAGGTAGTGAGGGGGGAGCGGGGAGGTGGTGGACACAAACCAAGCCTGGTGCAGGGGAGAAGCCAGGATGCTGTCTGGGTGACACTGAGCAGGTTTCGGGGGGAGGGGGGCTGGGGATGAAATCCCTCGTCACAATCCCAGCCAGGCCCCTGCCCAGGAAGTGTGACAGGCGTGCGCGCAGTCTCCCTGGGTCTCCCCCTTGGTAGCAGACTAAGGAGCTAACTTGTGGATGTCAACGCCCCCAGGTCCAGAGAGCGGGGATCGGCTCACCTGGGCTGGGATCCCCTTCCCGCCCCTGCGGCTCAGCCACCCAGCCACGCACGGCAGCGGCAGAGATTAGTAAGCAATCCGGGCTGTGCCCGCCGCCTGTTTGTGGCTGCCAACCCCTGCCCCGAAGCCAGGCCTTGCTCTGCAGGCGGGAGGTCCATGCTCATCAGTGGCTGATAAGGTTCTGGCTCAACAAAGGGTGGCTCAGATGCCGGTCAAGGGGCGAGGGTGGGAATAAAGGGGGAGGTAAGTTTCCGAAGCCCTGACTTCGGAACAGAAGTAACCTTGGCTCAGATACAAGGCCCCCGGCTCTTCCCCAACAAGGTCAAGGGCAAACTGAGGAGCACCAGGTCACCAAGCC